CATTCGACAACAGGTAAAAATAAAATCCTATATTGTTAATTTTATTGAACACGGTAAAATTTATGCTGATTTTGCAGTATGTTTTGGAGAGTGTATGGAGTTTGTCAAACGAGATACAATATCGCAACGAATTTGAAAAATAAAACGAAAAAAGTTGATTTGCATTTAGTATAAGCGATAAATGTTTGTTAGAAAATTAAGACAATAGTAACGATGATCAACTAACCGGTCCATTATTTTATTGCTTAAAACACAAAATATTTTTAAAATAATAATATCTTTGAAAAAATATTTTACTTTACATTATGAAAATGTTTAAGATCCAGTTAAAATTTTAATTTGAAATCTATCTTATTATTTTTGATGCAAAAAATATGTGCTTTAGATATTACAATAATTAGTTGTTTTATTATTACATTCTAAAATGATTCTCTATATAAGTTGAAAGAGTATTTTACCATGTTCTACTTCATCAAAGTGCGACTATAATTCTCTTACCATTGTAAATATTTAACATTTAACTTTAAAATTATTGGTCTTTTATCAAAAATAAAACAGAATTTTTTTTCATGACTAAACTCACAAATATTCACAAAATATCAATCTACAAGTTTCATTTGAATTATACCATTTTCGCACAAAATATTTACAAGCTACTACCATAATACTATTTAATGGAAAAAATACTATGGTTATTTTATAGACATAATATAAATTTTATATCATGTCTGTGGGCAGAACTTATTAACCACCCGTATACAACCCAGGCAATATTGGGTAAATTACATTTTCGGTAATCAAATTAAATTACAAATTACTCAATCAATTATGAATTATTAACTAATAAAAAAATAATTATTTCTTTGTATTATTTTATATAATTTATTATATGGATTATAATCAATATAATAAATAATGAAGTTACATTAATTTTAAAAAGTAACTTAATTATAGTGGAAATTTATTTATTTTTTATTTATCTATTAAATATGAAATTTATTTGAGTTAAATCACTTATATCAGTAAAACCTCTAATGAAACTTCAGTTAAGGTACACGTTAAATTTTTAACTGACAAGCTATTACGAAAACATTTTGCGAATATTTGACACTCATTTTGATATACTATAAACAAAGATAAAAAATTCAACAATAATTGTTATAATTAACATAGAACTACAAATAGAGGAATACATATCATTATACTCTTTATAAATACGCTTTTTATTTCACTAGATTCGTTTATTTAAATTGTAAAATAAAAATATAAGAGTAAAATTAATGTAATACTTATTATATAATAAAATACTAAAAAATTAGCTAATGTTGAAAAAATTACTTGAATGTGTCTGATAATCAATTTTTTTTTCTTTGTTATAAATTTGTTATAAAGGAAATATATTAACCGCTCTATGCTTGAAATTTATACTGTGAATACTTAAAATTATTTTAAAAAATACCTATTAAAAGTATTTATATTAGAATATAGAATACGTATTTTCAATATATTTTCGATTTAGTATTGAATGCATACAAAATGCAAATTTTGAGTTTTTTAACATGTATGTGAGTACATTATTTTTGTTTAGCTCTTGGCTCTGGGATTCTTATCACAGAAATTTCCCCTAAATATGCCTTTAAAGATTACTATATGATTCGCCATTAGTTCATTGTTTTATTTTTAAAAAATTTCAATTAAAAGAAAGTTATTTAATATATTTTATAAACAGTATAAAAGTACAAACAGAATGTACGTTGAGTTAAATATACCCGAAACACTAAGACAAATAAAACGAAAGATAAAATTATTATATACATTTTTCCATATGTGTTTATATAAATACTTACGTAAAAAATTTTTTAATGTGAATGTTCACTTTAAGCTCACAAATACAACAGTATAAAAAACTCGTCCGCTTAATTTGAAAAAATATTGAAAATGTGACAGTTGTGACGCGGAACAGTCTAACAGATGATTTATTGTTTTTTAAATGAACAACACACCGTAACTATGCCAAACAGAGTAAAATGTGTCTAAAGGGATTTTGGTTTTTAACGTTTTTAATTTTCTTCATTCATCGATCACAGGTATTAAGGTGACGCAAATCACACAGTGGTACAATGAATGTACATAAAATATATCAAAAATAAAACCGTGTCTTTAGTAATGCGCATAATTGATTGCACTATACTCTTATAAAATTCCATACATTTTGTTTGCAAATTAATAGTTGATTATATATTTTTCCTTCAAGGTTTATAGTTTTATTTTGATTTTAGGATGGTTAGTCACATATTATTCTAAGACCTATAAAAAAATGTATGAACAAAAATTGATATTTTTAATCATTTTATAATAATACGAAAATAGAATACGAGTATGTTTGAACATTTCTAATATAACATATGATTTACTATTTTGTAGTAAAATATTGTATGGGTTATTTTTTTCAATAAACTTTACGTCCGAGTTTTTATTTAATAATTCAATCATAGCTTTCAAAACGATTTCTAAAACAAAAGTTAGAATTTTTTTACTTTATATGTATTACATAAAAGTAATACATGAAAGTTGAGTAATATTGTAGTCATCAATCATGAAATGTAAGTCAGGAAAAAGGGATTCTATTATGAGTACACTAAAAGAAGCACAAATTAAATTTAATACTTTGATTTAAACGCTTGAACAAGTTGTTGATCTTCAGGTTAAACATTCAAAAGAAGTACGTCATGGCTATATAATGCCTTGTCGTGGTAATTATTTAATTAATAAATCATACAATGTCTAAAACTAAATTTCAGTCGGTCTTAACAAGTAAAAACCTACCGTGTTACAAAGTTTTATACATTATATTACCTATTTATAGCGATTATTTTATAAACAAATTATAAAATAAAAACGGTTTTTATGATTGTTATAAATTGCAATTTTTACGGTTATAAAAACAACAATACTTCATTATAAATATAGTTTATTGATTTGGAAAACAACTTCGCATAATACTCTGTAGAAATATCCGTTAAAATTGATCCGGTAATATCATTTATAATTCAAATTTATTGATAATCGCATAGCAATATTTAAAATTTGGATATAAACAAAGAAAACATTAAGTATACAATATGACTGATAAAAAAATATATACGGTTAATCTAACAATACTATCAAAATTCTGATTGTATCGCAGACATTTTTATTTCATAAAAAGTCAACAAACTTATGAGAAATGAAAAACAATTTGTTTTAATAAATTGAGACTTGAAAAGGTTTTATATGAATCATTTTTAAAACCTTCTTATTGTATATCCTTTTTAATTATTTTCTGTCTATAATTTTCTATAGAAAATATTTGATTAAAATCATTTATTAATAAGTTATATAAAACCTCTAATCGCTCTTATTATATATAAATATACAAATTTTTAAAACACATTACTATATAATTATGAAATGTTATTATTGAACCCTTTAGTTCTCAAATCCCGTAAAAATGTTTATTTATAGTATTTAATTACTAATCTTTTACTATAAATAAGAATACTAAACACTAAGGGTATACAACTACTATAAAATTATTTTTTTCAGTATATTATTTACTTAGTGTGCACTATATATATTGTATTTTGTATAAATTCAAAATTCTACGAAATTCATGGTTAAAAGTACACTGTAAGATATTATATAAAAATGTCCATAAATCATTATGATAATTATTCTACGCACAAGTATTGTAATTTCGACATAAAGTATTGAATATTCATACAAAAATATATAATTTTTATCACTATTTATCCAACACATTCCCTTACATAAAATACATAACTATGTGTTAAAAACTTCTAATACATGTATGTGAAAATTCGGAAATTTTTTTAAAGAGAGTAATTTATAGTATATAAGTCATGCAAGACTATTAGTTTTTATTTTTATAGAAAACTATCATCATTCGTAAATGTTCAGGAAAAATTACTATATTATAATCTTTGTCACGCATGAATTTTATTATTGTAGAGCATTACTGATTAATATCATTAAAAACATTTTTATAGTGCATAAAATGTTTAGGTAAATGCATTTATAAGGGTAAATATAATTATAAATTTAGTTGGGGTAAAACTTACATAAATATACATAAATTATAATAGAAGCAAAGAAGCTAGTAATAAAATATTGAGTTTATATAAATAAAAAGTAAGTTATTTTTTCTAAATTTTAAATTTAAGTTCGATTGAAAAAAATATAGTCAAGTTATAAGTAACTAATTTTTAATAGTAAACAGAGTTAAGTTATTAGTAACTATAAAGAATAATAACTTTTCAACTTAAGTAAGCTAACACAGATTTCTGTTGTCCAATTAAAAGACATATTTTTTTTTTTTAGAGAAGGTAAAAATTCTCTACCATAAAAAATAAACATTTTATAATATACTAAAAAACACTCGAATACCGCAAAATTTATTATTCGTATCTAAGAAATAATCCTCTATGGGTACAAATCATATTTAATTTTAATTTTTTTTCCATTTCTGGATAAAAGTTATTTTATTTAAGTACAATACTGAATAACCTATTAATCGCCATTATTGAACATTCACTTAAGTCGTTAAAAAATAAATTTAAAGTTTCTTATTAAAATAAATTTACTCGACAAAAGAACCAGTTAATGTACCAGTTAAGTTAGTATAAAAAAAAACAACCTAGTAAGATAAAAAGTTAAACTAACTTAAAATTTTAACGTATTGCTGGCCAGACTTGAAGGATAACGACTTAATAAAAGAATATAGTTAATAATTGTTTTTTGATCGAACACAGCAAAAATGTAAAATTGAATAAAATTTATCATTTCTGAATTACATTTTACGGTCGAGGGCTATATTTATTAAATTTTCCATCGCCGTAAAAAAACAGTAATCGGTAAGATTTTACTAGATTGTGTATATTTAATTACTTAATTTTCAGTAATTTTTTTAAGGTTGAATATGTTATAAAAAAAAATCTTACCTTTATATGGATTTATGTACGGTGGCTCAGCCCAAGTCAACACCACGTACATCCAAAGCAGTAAATTTGGAAACAGCAGGTACATGACTGCGCTGCTGAAACCGCTAATGATTGTTGATTTTTAAAATTTTGATGTAGTGATAAACGCAGAAAAATAAAAATCACCAATTTTTTTAAAATTTGGGGTTTTTGTGTTGTTAAAATCGCGATGTCATCCTATGATTACATCGGGTTTGTTGAGTTACGCTGTTTACCGGTGGAAAATATTGTACGCCCACAAATCAGCGGTTTAAAATATAGTAATTGAAAAATACAATCAACACATTAAAATTATACAGAACTAGTTTGGGCTCACAAATTTAGAGTTAATAGGCTATTGGAATCGCACTTAAGTTATTCTTCAGCACCGAGTACTAGTCTAAGTTACTCGCGCGGTATTCGGTCTTGCCACAATCAAACGAGAGGGTGGCAGCGAACGACCGAACAGGGCGAATTCCACGAGGACGACTGACTCGGCGACTGCGACTCGACAAACGACTACCCCAGTGGCGGCGCACGTTTTTATACTCAATAAAAACTCCCAACATAAAAACAATTGTCGCACATACAGTTACTGTTATTATAAAAAAAATTTATAGATTTATTGAAGAAAAATGTCAAACAAAATATTGATATAAGTTCATTTTTCGGGGTATAATTATTTAAATGAAAGGTAATATAAATATCACAGTAATAGCATGACTGGTTAATGAAACGTGGGACAACATCACTTGAGTCATTTAAGTATTTCTACAGAATATACGCTAAAAAAACTATAAAATTAAAAAAACTTAACCTGAATAAATAAATAAATTATACATCCGATTATTATTATTATTACAGGTAGCTTATAAAAATTAAATGGGAACCTAACAATTTAACTTATGCTATTCGATGAAAAATTAACTCGATAAAATTTCGACTAATCGATAACCAGATTTGCAATATTCCATCTAATAAAGTAAATATAATTGTAGGTACCTTTTTACTTTCAAAAATTATCCTTATAAACAACTCTTAATAATATTTTTTTTTTTACAACTAACTTGGTATATATTGTTGTGCATATAAAAATATATTCAGGATATTTTTGTGAAAAAATAATTATTTAATGAAATAATTGGAGGGATCATTAATAATAAATTACACTGTATATATTTATGTTAAATTAAGAGCTTTTAATATAATTTTTTTTTTTGAGTTCAACTTTTAATTAGGATTTCAATAAAAATTATAACAATCACTACCATTATATGAAGGGGAGAGTGCATAGAAATTAAAATAAATATAAATATTCCAAACGTAAAATAATTTACTCAGTCACAGTAATATATAGTTTATTTACAAAAACATTTTTAAAGTTAAATTAATAAACGAGTTTTAGAGTACTTGCGTGTAAAACTACGATACGCTTTTTAGTGCGTGTGAAGCACGCACTTGGTCTCGATTTTTTATGTTACTTAATAATGTTTATGTTACTTTCACCAAGCAACCCAAGTCGCCCTCTATCGGATAGTTTACATGGTAGTACAATTTAGCGTATTATTAAATTTTAATAAATATAAATTTGTATTATTTATATCTTTTTCATTTGAGCCAGCTTAATAATGTAACTCTCTTAATTAAGTTGAGCAAAATAACTATGAAATTTTGAATTGCCCATTTTATCAACAAAAAAAAACCAATCAAATGTTATGTATGATTTGTTATATATTAACAGTTGGGCATACAGTACAGCAGCAGTTGGGATAAGTATAGAACGGTGTCGGTGAGTTGAATCCCAACACTTATTTTATGTATTAATTGATTCTCGGGGCAATTATATAATTTACGAGTTAATTCTCATTACACATATGAATTCATTCCTAAGGTTTAACTTATTAAACGATATGAATAAGTATTTTTTTGTATACATACATATATATATATATATAAATACTCGTTTTTTTTTTTTTTAATTAATAATAATCTCAAAAAATAGAGACGATAGAAAAATGTAATTCCAGATTTGAAATCAAGGCGGTAAATTAGTTTAAAAAAGTAAATTTTCGACTATAGTAAAGATTTCTCTTAGACCAGCGTAATTTATAATTAAAGTAAAAATATTTTCTGAAAAGTTTGACATTAAACCCTTCAAATTTTATACACTTTTACCATAGAAGTAACAAAATATACAACTACTTAATAATTTTTCTATAAAATGTACAATATTAAATGATTGAATATCAATTTCATACTAAATTTAATTATTATCATAAGTATCTATTGATTAGTATTATTCTAATTAATCAAAGAACTAGTTGTCAAGATATAATTAAGGAAATAAGAGTTGATATTGCTTTTGGAATAATCCTCCAATTTTTCTAAATTAAACACTATTTACGTATTTGTATTGAAGCGTTTTTTTATAATAGTGATTTTAACTACTGCTAGATATCATCTATTATTACCCCAACAATAACTCGCCCCCACTGTATCGGTACCTAACTGTGCTTTTTCAAAATATCAAAACTCGAAAATATTTGAAGTACTTGATGAAATAATCAGGTAAGTCCTATTTATTAGAAAAAACGTTTTTGTTAATTATAAATCAAAGTTATTTTTTTTTTACATAATTCGGTGCAAATTGAACTTATACAATATTGAAAATACAATTATTTATAGAAATATTTAAACTAGAAAAAACATTTTACCATTACTTTCAATAAAATAATTTTATAAAAAGCTTCTCCTGAAAATTATTTTAAAATATACTATTCTGTTTGTTATGCTGAGAACTTTATTTACTAAAATATCATTGATAAGACTTAAGTATCACCTAGAACTCATATCCTGTATTTAAATAGCTTGCAGTCATTTAATTTAAAATGAAATTAATTTTTTTTTAAATACATTTTTTACTTTAGTAAAAATAAATTAAATACTCTAAATTTCAACAAGAAAAATATAAATCTAGTTAAAAAAATATTTTGATTATTTTTCATTTAATAATTCATTAGGAAATATTTATTTTATATAATTAGATATTTTGCTGAAATAGAAATCAGTTCTCTTAAAACATTTTAAAATAGTGAGTTTTTAACCCTTTAAAAAAGTTATAGTTCCTTTAATTATAACAAAAATAATACACTCATATATAAAAATACTCCTTCTTAAGTTTTAATTATAAGATTTCATTTTTACAAGTATTAAAATAACTGCATTAGTTATGCTTTGAGATGACACGTATGTCAATTTGAACTCGTGTATTAGTTATAGAACACTTAAACTAAGATACTTGAAACACTTATTACAAATTATTATGATTCTTATTTTTTGTGTCAAAACTTAACAAAATTTATTTTTCGAAATAATTATTAATTCTAAGTCCAATGTAATTAACACAAACTCAAAAAGATTCAACTCAACCCCTAGTTATCTAACATCATAAAACACAATGTGCTCCTTATATCATGAACTACATAATGACCGAAAAATAAAAATTATTTTATTTTTTATTGGTTTCTTATATGTATTTCCATGTTTTTCTCAATTCATTAAATATTTTTTATATTCATCCTTTACATCTTATAAAGGTTTAAATTTTAATTTTTTAATTGGCAATATACATAATTTACCAGGTTATTTAAACGACTGGTCGATAACAACTTTTTCTAGTATTTCAGAAATTATTAATATTTTAAAGTAATAACTGGAGATGAGCTATGAATACTACCATTTTTTACACTAGAAATTTTTGACTTCACTCCTCTAGGTATACAAATGTAAGCTGCCATTTTATAAATTAAAGTTGACACTCTTGGTGTTAAAAGATTAAAAGGGTGAATATTAAAAATAAGGTATAAGGGACGAACATATAAAATATTTTATGATTAATAAATTGAGAAAAACGTGGAACTAAAAGAAAACAATACAATAATTATCAACATTATTTTTATTTTTCGATAAAAAACACATTCTTTATATGAGCACTATTGATTTATTTATAAAGTCATACTAATTCCATTTATATTAAACTTTTAAGTACAAATTTAACGTTAAAAACAGGTTTCTCCATTGGCTTTTTAACTTTTTTACGTTAAAGAATATGGCTCGTAAATTATTCCAACACGTTCACCATAAACTTTCAAATCAATTAAAAAGTTAATAGTATTTTTCATTTTTCATCCAGTAAGTAGGCACCCATTGGAATGTACAAAATTACATTTAACGATCTTAAAACGTTTTTATTTTTAATATTTAAGAATATATATATTACATAATTGAAGATATGTAACAAACATGCCCAATAACTAATAAATATTAAATATTATTATTATAACAACATTTTTTTGTTGAATCAGTCTAGTATACATATTTAATTCGCAAACCTAAGATTAATGAAGCGTATCAACCAATTCGCATTTTTTCGGCATTGAAAAAATGTTATTTATTCTTAAAAAAAATTCACCATCTAATATTATTAACGATTTTCACAATAGATAATCTTCCATTTGTTGGTTAAAATATAATTACAATCGAAAAGTCCCCATTTCGGTTGATACGCTTCTTTAAAACTAGACCCTCGAAGTATAAATTCGTATTCAAGAATAATACAAATATATTTCATAGTAGCATTAATAATTATATATTATTTATGGATATTTTTTCTAGAATAATTTTTATAGATATTCCCTTAACACATTTTTAACATAAATTTGTAACCAATACAAAGTAAATAAACAAAAATATCGTATAACAAACAATGAAAAAAACACTACAAGAGATTATACCTCGATAACAATCTAGAAACTATTAAATATCGTTATAGATTTGTTTAGAATTTTAATTATCGGGAAGATTTCTGTTAGGAAATATTTGATTCCATAACATAATAGCTTGATTTGACAATGCGGTGTTTTCCTTCCCTAACATTACATCAGTTATGAGTGACAATAATCTAGGCTGTAATACCATCCATTCACCTTTATCACACAAAGTGTAAAGCTTTTCCACAAGCTGCATGTATACCAGAGAAAGTTCTTTGTTTTCTCGCCAAAGACGCAACACAGTAATTAAAATTTCCGGTATTAATGTTTTACCACTTTTGTCAATCGCAGCTACACATTCCACCAGTTTAATATTGAACAACACCAGGGATTTGTGACTGATAAGATGAATTATAATTTTCGAAAGCTGCGTTAAAATTTTAATAAACTATTTTATTAAAATATTACAAATTACATTAAAAAAAAATTAAAGACAACATTTTTTTAACATAATTATTGAGCAAATAGTTGCTGACCATTGTTAATTTTTTTTTTTTATATATCTTTAGACAATCTGGAACGAATTTTATGGACGTTTTTAAGTAACCATAAAATCTACAATTTTTTCAATATTCGAATTTTTATGAAATATTTCATTATAGTTATATTGTGCTTTATTAATTTATTATTTATGTAAATACAATTTGTACTCATTATGTGTTAAATTTAATAAATTTTTAAATCAATAATAAATACCAAATTCTCTTATTATTTTGTTATAAATATAAAAACAACTAGAAAAGGCAGAAAAATCTGTGGTCCTTAAAAAATGCTGATATATTAGAAAAAATGATTATAATTTGTATAAAGGAATATGCTATCTGTCATGTGAAAAAAATTACTAGTCAATTTTATTGTCAATATTTTTTTAGTATTTCAAGAATATCAATTTCCGTAAGACGAATGAAATTTTCAATTTGTTTTTGAAAAATTGCTAAAAGTGAGATATCCGATTTTAGAAAATAGCAACAGATATAAAAATATAATAACTAAAAATAAGTTGAAATGGTATTTTATTACCAACCCCGAACAGTCTTTAACCGAATTTAGCAAATTCGTTTGGAAAACTGTTAAATTTTTCATAAAAGTAGATAGTAATTAAATGTAATATTAAACTTTTTAACTAATTTAGGGGTCTTATAAGAAAATGGTTATAGACTTACATATCCAACAAAAATTTCCCTTTTGATTTAATTAATAAAAACTTTACTTCTATATAAAACGTTAAGCAAACACTTACTTCATTTAATGCAGTTTCTGCAATAGAGCTGTAAATGACAGAGTATTTAAGAACGTCCAGCATTTCAGAAATACCATTGTGATATCTTATTTTCCCATAAGCAAAGCTCTCTAACACACAAATAGCTGACTGAAAAATGTATGAACGTAGAAAAGAACAGGTGTCGTGCAAGTATCTTATTGTGTCTCGAACTGCTATCCTTTCAGCAGTTACTGTACTATTTAATCGCTGTATAGTGCTGTCGACAAAGTCTTTATCTAAAAATGGTTGGGCTTTCCGTGGCCGAAACCCATTATGCTTGAGAAAAGCTTGAAACATCTGATAGACCAATTCGGTGTTTTCAAACTCATATAATGTTTCCTTTTTGTCTTTTTTAGTTACAGAATTTGATGAGGAAAAAACATTATTAACAAAAACATTGATTACTAATTCATACACAGTTGCCGAGTAATCAACTGAAAACCAAATTCAAAGGATTTAACATCTATATAACATAAATATTCATACATAAACATTTAGGTATAAATTGTGAGAACATAAATATGTGTATTGTTTTATTAAAAATGCATGTATTTTATTATGGAAAAATAGATTCAATGTTTATTTAAAATGACCGTTTTGATAAAATGTTTATGTATTTAAATGAATAAGGAAATAATTTTTCTCCTTAAAGTTCCGTTAGAGTCCGTACATTGTGTGTAAAGGATAAATATATTGATGCAATTTAAAAATAAAAAATATTTATAACTGTAAAATGATTAAAATTTAATTTCTCCAGAAATTGTTTCTCAATTATACCCAATAAAATATGTTAACAAAAAAAAATACATATCCCTTGTATATAAAATACATGGTAAACCACAAGGCATTTGAGTAAATGAAGTAACTTTACACTTAAATTGTTCAAAATTATGTTCAACTAACTTTCTTGTTTATTATTTGTCCATAACAAATACAGTCCGTCTAATGTCGCTATTTTCGTATCTCTGCGAGTATCGCTTGCCGATAACAACGGCAAACATTTTTTCAATAATTGTAGAATAGTTGCGTTAATATCTAACAAATTTGACATATTGATTCCTTTTGTTTGTGTCAAACAAAAAAAATTTATGAAATTATAACTTAAAAATTATTACCAAATATCCGTTGCCAAGAACATGAAATCATTTATACATTTTTTCGTATTACCGTAAAGTATCAGCTGATGTTTGATGAATGTAACATGGATAATAATTATTAGATAAACATCAAAATGATTAATCGAAAACGATGATTTTATTCCATCGCTGACGTCATCGTAGGTAACTGTGATGAGAAATAGTGACACAAAAATGGATATCGCTAGTGTCTTCAGGTCTCGATCGCTAATTTAAAGTGATACTTATCGCGTACAAGTAAATCAGTGATGAGTTTGCATCGGTGCTATTCATGATACTACATAATTATAATACGAAAATAATTAACAGTAATACTGAAACTTATCATATCGTTAAGTTATATATTGTGTCAGCCATTTTACATTAAAAATGTGTCGATCAGTCACGTAGCGTAACTAGAATTTCATATTTAGGATGGGGTAGTAAAAAACTACAAAATTTCATAATTTGTACTTTTTTTGCTCATCAATTCATTTTAGAAATGAATATTACTGTCAATGGTGAACCTGATCAACCAACCTATGCTTTCCATCACAACGTCACTGATCAATAATTTATAAATTTATTCAACTAAATTTACTGGTTAAGTGGAATGTTTAATAGTATTAGTCAATGATTTTTACTATTTACCATTAAAGTTTAAAATTTGTGTGTGATATTAAGAAAGAAAAAATAGGTCACTTATAATATATAAAAATTTTTTCTCAGAATTTATTGGTAATTATTATACAGAATAATTCTTTTGTCATACATCACTTAATTAATCGAAACATAAAAATGAAATTGAGAACTTTTCTTTTTTTTTTCTTTTACGCACGTGTTTTTCTCAATTTATCAATCATAAAGTATATTTCATATTCACACCTAATATATTATGAATATACCAACTTTAATTTTTCAAATAGCAACATGCATATTTAATAAGTTTACTTGTCAGATAATGATCTAATTAAAAATATATCTGTTCAATAACTTTTGGACGAGTATTTCGGAAGTTATTGACAATTTAAAGAAATGGCTACAAGTGAAGTGTGACTTAAATTATTTTTACAACTAAACATTTCCAAGCCGCCTCCACCTTCCGTCTAGATACAAAAATATTAATAACTTCTAAAATATTAGTTCAAAATTTGTTATCGACCCGTCACTTTCTCTATTAAATCAATTTCTATTTTATAAGCTAGTTAAATATGTATGTTTCAAAAAAATAAAAATAAAGTCAACAGCTCTACAAGTTATAATAGATGAACATAAAAAGTTATATTTAAAATCATGTAATACATATAAGTTAAACATGTAAAATTCATTATAACTGAAAAATTGAGTAAAACATGTAACTAAAATAACACAATTTTTTTTTTTACATTTCGTTTAATTAAGTGATCAATGATAAAAAATCACTTTATATTCAAATATTACTGTCGATTGTTTGCGTATAGATGATTTATTTAATGTATTCATATTTACCTCATGAAGTGTTAATTAACACAAACGGTCAACTTTATACGTATTTGTATTGTACATAATAGGAGGGTATATACAGAATAATTGATGTTCGACTTATATAAAACGCGTAAGGTGGGTATCTTTAAAGTTATAAAAACATGTGAAGGGTGGAACTTTTAACGTGGATAAACAATTAAGTCGATGAGATAGATTTATGATGTAAACGTTTCTCTTGAGAACATAAGAATACACAGTTACTATTGACTAATTTACTATATATATATATATATATGAAGTAATTTAAAACGAAGAAATTGCGTGTGTAATTTTCGTGACTTTTAAGCCATACGGGTGCTTTTTATGATTTTTCTGCCCGTTTGACCTCTTGTTCTTATACGTCTACTATGCTTCTTTTAATTAATTTAAAAAGTGCTGTCTTGAAAAAATTTATCACTTAACCAATTACATTTATTTAAACAAAGAAAACGCGAAACATGTCACTCGAACTAAATATATAATAAATAATTATCAATATTTTAACAAATATTCTGACACTTATCTGTATGTACACTCCTATTTACCTCTAATTTATAAACTGATTATTATAATTTTAGGCAATCAATTCAAAAATAAACTGAGATTCTTTACCTCTGTTGGGTAAAAATAATTTTTTCAGTACCCATATTTAAAGCTTTGGGATGCCATAACTGTCGGTCTCAAATTATTTGCTTTCAAAAGTACAATATTATTATGTATAGGACGACAATATCGTCTTCCATTATAATTTATGTATTAAATGTTTGTAATTTTAAACATTATCTAAAAAACAAAATTAAGAATACGAGTTATATTCGACGATTTGTGAAAGACCTCGCATCAACTTCAGTAGTAATCACTACACAATTATTTATTTTAAGTTTAATAATTAATAATTGAAACCTTAAATTTTAAGGTTTTGTCTTTTAAGGCGCCTGTATTAAATTTTCAGTCAGTTTAAATTTATTTGGAAATATACTACGAAAAAGTCATCGTATACAGTATTTTGTAGTGTACAATGAAATAATATACGAAATCATTTGGATCATTATTTACATGACTCCGTCTTATTATTTTTTTATGATATAAAATTTTTACGCAACTTTATATCTCAAAAATAAAGAATTACCCATAATGTTTATTTTAAAATACATACACTCGGTCCGAAAAAAAATAATAATAACCTACTAACCTAGTGAAGATGAAAATTATTCGACACGAGGTGAACATAGTATTTTATTTTCAGACTGAAAATTTCATATACATGTGCATACTTCGAATGTCACGAGAAGCAATAATGTGGCTACGGTTTTCTTGATTGAAACGAGTTTTCCGTATTTATATGCTCATATGTATATTGCATTACATTGAATGGTAGTGACGAACGGAAGATTAGTTTTTGACTTCGCATATTGCCAATATAACTCACATCGAATAAAAGACAAAATTACTTTTTATAATCTTAAATTCTAGAGTGCGTATATCTATAAAATCTTACGATTTCTTTATATTTATATTTTAAACGATAGAAATTGGAATAGTTCGTTTTTGTAATTTGTATATGACGCATATGAAAAATTAAATAACTAATATTATAATAATGGTTAATGAAAGAGTTCTTGTATAGTTTTTTTTTGTATAAAATACACAATGTATAAAATAAATTGTGAAATATCTATTAAACTTCATAATTATAGTCTATTTGTTCATCCTATCAAATCTATTTTGTTTTCCTATCAAATCTATTGACAAGTATAATAATTTTTTTTATATACAGCTCCATGAGTTTTAAATTATGGATATAATTTATGTAAAAATATACTACTTATGCATTAACTTTGCTTGATATATTCTACTGAAAATTTACAAATACACAATTTGAAATCATAGAAAATTTCTATACATTTCTCTTTGTATTAAGTACATGTGATCAATGAACTAGTGTGACACTAATTAAGTTAATTTGCGTATATAGACGAAGATTGGTTCAATTACAAAAAGTTCATTTCAATAGAAATACGAATCATTTCTATGTAACTCTTGGTGTTTAAATAGATGCTATAATTGAAATATTGAGAACTATATTCCATATAGTTATATCCTGTAGTTTTTAACTAATTAGTAATAATAGCAAAAATTAGTGGTGATAGATAAAATCTAACTTGTAGACTTCAAATCAGAGTGAAAAATTGATCAATAAAAGTATATTTTCATTGATTGATGATTTATTAGAATTACAATAATGGTTTATTAAAACCAAGAATCGGAAGCTAACCGATGTCTGCCCAAATATCGTCCCTATCTCCTTAAATTAGCGCAAGCTACAACAAGTATAAGGCATAAGTACAAAACTAAAAAAAAATCTTCATATATAATTAAAATTTAACATAATTTTTTAAATTTAATTTTAATTTAACCATTCATAGAAAAAATCAAATTTATCAGACAAAAAATTGCAATCATTTGGCATTACGGACAATCTAGTACATAATTTTGGTATCATAAAGGTATATGGCAACTGTGATGACTTATTAAGTTAAACGGTGGTATCCTTAAGTGAATTTTTTTTAATAATTCCTTACATTCTACCTGACTTTTAATAATATGATGATGAACACCACATCTAAATATATACGGTGTAACTCTAAATGGTGCAACCTCTTAGTTTTAGAATTACCTCAGATGGTTGTCCTATCGTTTCCAAATTTACACAACCAACCTGACAAACTTTTTTTGTACATCCTATGAATTTTGATATACAGAATGATTATAACGCCTACATTTTTTCATTTTACAATGTGTTTCATATCTATAAACCTGTAAATATCTATATACATAGTGTTTTATAATTCTTCGTGTCACAAATGTAATAAGTAATGCGATGAAAAAAAAGAAATATTGTTACGTAGTATTTCTTTATATAGCCCAGGCTTTCAGTACATATGTTTGCTTAAAAAATTACGCGAACAACTACCAAACTCGTAGTGTACCATAGTTAAGTTTTACTTGATTAAAAGATAATTTCGCGTCATGGATGAAGAAGCTTAACGCGGCTAGAAAAATATATCAGCTAGAGTTGTTTTGGGCCCTATCTTGTACTATACACAACTGATGTTCTGGAAAATATACCTTGACTGCTTCCTTAACTGGAAACACCATTTACGCCAGAAAAGAATGAAAATAAAATAAAACCTGTGCAAAGTCTATTGGTTAATTGCGAAACACTGAATTATCACTAGATAACTAAATTCTATTATACGTAGTGATTATAAAACCTATCTGGACTTCTACTGAGAGATTGTGCTAGTAAGCCTAACATAGAAAACATTGTTAAACGTACATGTCCCTAAACATTTGTAAATTTTTTTTTTTTTAATTAACTAGTATTTAATTTACATTAGTTTGCTATGCAAATTTTACAAATGGGGGTCAGGTACATGTACGTGATTGCACATTGCTATCAAAACATCGCCCTTCGTATCAGCATCATGGCATACCGATTCTACTAAAGTAACGTAATTCATCGTGATATGATCCTGCCGACCGTAGCAGATGAAATCATTCGGTTCATACGTAAACAGATAACAATGTTGGAAGACCATGAAAATCCAGCGACAATTTAATTATTAGACAATTCAAATGATTTAAAATGTTTAAAACCCATCAAGCCATATGATTTGGTTTAAATTTATGAATATTTATGTGTATACATTTTAAATATTATTTTTATCATTATGTATTGTTATCATCTCAATAAAAAGTACCTTAGAGCAGTATAAAAAAAAAAATAATAATCAAGTAAAGATACATAAACCACAATTTAAATATTTTTGTACAAAAAAAAAACTATTTGTAAAAAAAAAAATATAATTTTTCTATCGAGAGATGTACTTTGGTGATTTAGTTAATTTGCAAATAAATATCATCAAATAGGTACTGATAAAAAAGGTTCAATCTTTATAATTTGTTATATACAAGTTAGTAGTTTTTTTTTTTTTAGAATTATAGCATCATTTAACTGTACATCAAACAAATATGCTCAACCTGAACATTATTGTAATTGAAAATAACTTTTGTATAAATCATTACAAGAAATTTGCACATATAATTAATAAAATTAAAGTTTTTGTTATCAAATATATAAACAATGTGTAACATTTGATCAATGTAATTCTATGGGACAATTCATTTGTGAATGAGTTACAAATTATTACTTTTTGTTACATAAATTAATTTGTTACTACTATTGTAGTAACAATAGTAATGTAAATAAATTATTTTATATTAAAAATAAATTTAAAAAATTTATCAAAACTCATTTAGGAGTAGTTCAACTGATTTTTATAGAATGAACTTTTTTTAATCTTATAACTTCCGTTCAAATCGAATAGATTTTTGCTCGTGTTTAAACTATTGAAAGCTAAAAATATATGATATGAACTCGAAAATATAAATTATCTATCGACAAGAGTAAAACACAACTTAACATTTTAGTACCAACTTGAATAAAATACTATATTTTAAAATCGTATGAATTTAGGCATAATAACTCCTGCTAAACATTCAACGAAAATCAATGATTTTTGAATTTTATAATTCTCTTGACTTTAATTTTTATATTTTTGTATTATTATAATATTAAAATTTATTAGTTAACTTTTAATTTTAATAACTTGGAAAAAAAAGCTTAAATTTGATTAAATTTAAATAATTTTTCTGGAATCAAGTTTATTTATCAAGTTAAATAAAAAGGAAAACTTGCACTTAGTCTTGGAAATACGTTTTTATGAGTTTGTCAAACAATAGTTTAAATTTCTTAAATTAGTACAACACAAATTATACTCTTACAGCATGTCAAGCTTATGAACAATAATTTTTTAACTTCCATGAGAAGCTGTGAAGGTATTAATTTTACTATGGTATATTTTTTTTTAGCTTCGATGCGAAGCTGAGAAGGTATTGGTTTTACTATGATGTGTTTTTTTTGTGTATCTGTTATCATTATACTTGATCCAACTATGCCACGTCTCCACTGTGCCGCGATCCCCCTGTGCTGGGTTTTTTCAAATTTTTTTACTTAAAATTGCCATAACTTTTTTAAAAATGACCGACTTAATATCAATTTTTAGCTTCGATGCGAAGCTGAGAAGGTATTGGTTTTACTAAGATGTGTTTTTTTTTTTATTTTTTTTTTATTATTTTTTTGTGTCTGTTACCACTTTTTCTCAGCTCTCACCGAACCGATTTCTTTCAACGATACGCCAAAAAATCACAAATCGTATCTAGTCGATGACATTACCCTTCAAAATTGAAAAAAATTCCCTCGTTCCCTATAAATGGGGGAAACCTCCAAAAAAATTACAAATTTAAAAATCGCTAATTTTCGAAATTTTTTCAATTTTTTTTACTAAAAACTGCCGTAACTTTTTTAAAAATGAACATATCAATATAATTTTTTTTTTATAGATGCTTGATGTCTTTACCTATCATTTGGTATATTTTTTTTGTAAATTTGACCTTTTTTCTGCCCACAGGGGGGGATTTAAAATGACAACTTTTTCACAAAAAATTAACTTTTTCAACTTAACTTTTGAAAATGTTCCGGAAGGTCTGACACTTTTATATATATCTTAAATTAAAGCTAATGTAATGTACTTTAATTTGAAAAAAAAAAATTTGACCTCTGGACTTGTCTTCATGGTGAAAACGGCTACCGAATGCTATTTTTGTGTGAAAATTTTCGATTTTATAATTTACATTTTTTACTTTAAAGTGCTATAACTTTTTAAAAAATGTATGGATCAATACAATTTTTTCATGAGAAGTAGTATTTATACACATCTTTCATTGGATATACTTGTTTTTTAAATGAAAAGAAATTTTTTTTGCGAGGGATGACTACAGTGATGTGATCCTTGATCTTTATTTAAGTTATTGAATCTAAATGAGATAAAAAACAAATGAGTTGAAAATTTATTCTAAATTAAAAAGAATTAAGAAAAAAATTAATAAAATTATATGTCATAGGCGGGTTGGAATCTAGTATCCCAAGCGTGTAAGACATTAGTGTTACCGACCGGTAACCGTATGTCGCTTCCGTCAAATTAAAAAAATGGGAATTTTAAAAAAGCTAGTTCGAATTTCAATGTTATTTTTCTCAACTTAAAAAAAGCAAAAAAATCTAAATAAGTTTAACTTTCTATTCTATATTAATTTGATTTATATAATATTTATGAAAATCAGTGTACTCCCCTTATCAGGTATTTTAAAATAAAATAAAATACTAAACTCAGAATTTTAACACAAAAATAGCATATTTTTGAATACGGTAGTCATTTTCATAATGAAGACAAATCCAGAAGTCAAATTTTTTTTTTTAAATTAAAGTATATTATATATGCTTTAATTTAAGGTATATATAAAAGTGTCGGTCTTTCCGGAATATTTTCAAAAGTTAAGTTGAAAAAGTCAATTTTTTGTGAAATAGTTACCATTTTGAAATCCTTCCTGTGGGCTGGTAAAGAGCCAAATGTTCACAAAAATATATCAAATGATATATGTCTATATAAAAAAATGATATAATATAATTTTCTCTCGGGATATGAGTACGAGGGTTTATGAGAAGATGTAAAATATAGAAACCCAGCACAGGGGGGTCGCGGCACAGTTGTGACGTGGTATAGTTGGATCAAGTATAATGATATCTGACAGTGATTAAAATCACTATCAAAAA